TCTCTCCCGGGAGGCCACTGGAGGGTGTGAGCAGGAATGACATGGTCTCCTTTGAGGCTTAAAAGATGACTCTGGCTGATGTGTAGAGAATAGCCTGTGGCAGTTACAAGAGAAAAACCAAACAAAACACACAAAGGACTGAGAGATAGGATCCCTGGATCCCTCAACATGCCTTGTGATCTTGGAGAGTCACTTAGTCTCTATCTGTAATCTATTTGTAGGGTTATCTCAGAGGGCCAAGGCGGGAATCCCTAACATGCTGTTTAAAAAGTTACTTTTAAAGAACAAAGGGCTATACAAAAGCAAAGGCTGTGGCGATCTTTCCTCCTTCTCAGTATACTGGACACTTGCTAAATGCAATTGACTAAGTGGGATCTGTGTAACAATAATTTGAGTTAATTTCCTCCATGGGCACTGTGGCTTCTAAGAGGTCTCTTGCACAGTGGCTGTTTAGCTCATTTGGTTAACGAGGCCAAACTCAACCAGGTAACCCCAGTGCCAACCAGACCCTTCCTTCCCGTTCCCAGACCAGGGGTGCTCCAAGGGCCTGATCGGACATCTTTTAACTGGGTGTCACTGATCACCAGAAGCCCCACTGAGAGAGCGAGGGTCATTCCCTGTGGCTTTCCCTCTGCGGAGGCTGCCCCTGTGTAAGCCATGGGAGTGACATCTGAGTATGGAGACCAGCTTCCAGCCCGGCCCCACGGCTGAGTCACTCACATCTCCTACACAATCAGGGGACGTGGGGTCAGCGGAAGCCCCTGGGGAGGGCACCACATGTTAGTTGTGGGTTATTGATGTTGCCGAGGGACCCACTGCTGTCCTCAGTGAGAAATAAAGCCTGTGACACATCAAGGAAGGGTTTAGTATCTCTCCAGCAGTATGTTATCTGTGTCCAGCCCTGGCCCTGCAGGCCAGATCTCAGTGATAGGGCATTTTGCTTAAACACACACATACACAAAGCAAAAACAACCAACCAAACAACAACAAAAAAATGCAAGAAGACAGACCCTATCCACACATCCACCTTGAGTGGTGCTGTGGGTGAATTTTGTGCCTGAACATGGAATGTGCATTAGCTATCACTTAATCCTCATAGTACGTTCTGAAGGAGGCAACTGTCTCCCCATTTTACAGATGAGGAGACTGATACTAAGAAAAGTTAATGGATTTGTGCAAGGCTGTAAGATGAACTACGGAGCAGGGAGTTGGCCCAGGTGAGTCTGGTTCCAAGACCTTGTGCTTTCCTTACTGTCCTCAGGTGTGTAGTCCTAAAACACTTGTCGCACTCTCTATTTCTCCCCGAACCTTGGAAACCTCTCTGGCCAGAGACGATTGAGGACAAGCTCAGACCTCCTGGGAGTGGTTTGCCATTCAATCTAGCAGAAGACAAGTGCTCAGTCAGCTAGCAAGTATGCATCGAGCGCTGTGTGAGAGGATGGGCACAGGCAGGAAGTACGCATCCCCGCATCCCGAAGAATGACTCACGAGCAACACGCAGCCATGTCTGTGCCCCATAGAGGAGCAGTGACCAGGGGCTGGGGGTAGGCTGAGTCAAGGGATGCAGGGGGGCTGGTGGAAGATGGAGAAGTCAGACAGCCTGACTGCTTCTCTTCCTGGGGCCTGGGACTCAGAGTGTTGGGTCCCTCTGGAGCCTAGGGGAAGGCCAGGCCAGTGCCACTGGGAGGGCCAAGCACAGCCTGGCCAACCACTCCTCAGGCTCCTGCAGGTGGCCCCTCATCCTCCCTTCCAGAGCCATCCTCAGCACTGCCAGCTCCAGCTAGTGGCGGAATAAGCACCTGAGCCCATCCAGGACCTGGCTGTAGGAACTAGGGGTTTCTGTAGGAGAAGGGGTTTCTTGGAGAACCCCCTGGCTGTAGGAGAAGGAGTTTCTTTCTATGTACAGGGAGGATGGTGGATAAAAGGGGAAATCAGGAGGAATGACAGAGCCTCATAGAAAGACTGTGGGGCCAGGGCAGTGTAGCACCCTCTAACTCCTGGGGCTGGGCTGACAGCTCCTCTGAGGTGACGAGGTGACTAGGGTGGGGCAGGTGGGGAGGGAGGGCAGGAAAACCTGCCCTTCCTGTCAGGTGAGCCTCCATGCCTGCCTGCCTCTCTTTCTCTCTCAACACTATTTTAGAAATATAACCAGAAGCTCACCATGCTCCCGCCCATCTGCTCAGGGAGAAGGGAGGGAGTTCACCTGGACAGCCTCCAGCTCAGCCAGGGCGCACTCCAGGGAGAGGGGGCTTGCTGAATGTGTAGAAATGCTTCCGAATGTTAATACAAACTGATGTTAGATTATTTAAATAAAAACTCAGTTTTAAAATGTACTGGATTTATATTCCTTAGTGGGAAAGATTTAGTTTTTTCAGTTCCTTCTGAGACTATATGATCTTGTGAATGCTCCCCCTTTAGAAATCCATCATGGTAAAAGAAACACCATGATATTAATGATAGGATGTTAATAACCACCTTTGTATTACATTTTTATACAGTGAGTTGGGGCTCAGTATTGCATTTGATTCTGCCCCTAAGTCTGCGAGGTGGAAATATTAGAATTTCCATCTTGGAGATGGGGAAACCGGGACTCAGAGGGGTCGTCAGGTTGATGGAGACCTGAACCTGGGCTCCAGGCCTCAGACTCCAAGGCACACTCAGCCCACCGCTCACTCCCACCTCCCCAAGCTCTGCAGCACCCTCTTATGCAGGGACTTATAGCCCCAAAGGAGGAAGAAGCAACTGTGAAACTGCCTTCTATTCCAGGTCTACGCCAGCTCACCTTGAACCAGTTCAGTTCAAGCCCTTGGGTTCAAGCCCTTATATTTATACTGGGCTTTAGACTTTCCTTATCCCATGTCTCATTTACTTCTCTACTGTATGAAGAAGATAGGGTTCCTTTAATTTGGCAGAAAAATAAATATAGGAACAAATAGGAAATTGGATCTCATCATTTGTTCCTAATGCCATCTCTGGGGCTCTCTCTGCCATACCTGTGCAGTATTCTTGTCCCCCATATTCAGGACAGTGTCACCCTCAAGGTCCAGCAGCACAGTGTTGTGTTCTTGGTACTGGCCTGAGTTACCTAAAGCCACTCATCTTTCCCTCCAACATCTCTAAAACAGTCCAGCCAGGCCTGGAGAGAGGAGCCTCATTAATTCTGCTGTCTCTCATCTGGAGAAAGTAATGGAAATGGTCTTCTTATCTCTGTGATCTCCATGTTATGGACAGTCTGGTCATTGAAACCTTTGAACTCAGTAGAAACTTCTGGGGGGGGGGAAAGACATATTCACTGGGCAAGAGGAATGCAGAAAAAGAAAGGAAGAAATAGAGAAGAGAGAAAGAAGAGAAGGGATGGGCACAGAGGGCAGGTGGGGGCAATGTCCAGGTAAGGAATTTAGTGGAAAATTACAGGGCCCAAGGACTCTGCCTAGGGCCACTTGTCCCAGCTCTAGGGGCCTCTCTTGTGTCGTTTACACCTAAGAATAACTCCCAAGTTGGGCTATGGGGAGGGGGGAGTTTGATTTGCCCTTGACCCCAAGATGCCATTGCCTCCACAGCCAACTGTCTAACTTCCAGGGCCACTCATACCAACTGGTGTCCCCTCCAACTTCAGGGCTGCAATAATTGGCTCCTTGCTTAGAGGGGGTTACTCTAGAAGACTCTAGACCTCACAAGAATATTGCTCTGATGCTAATGTGTATTGTGCAAAATTTCAGTGTAAAGAGAACATTACAATCTTGTAAAAAATTAGGTCAAACAAGAAAGATAAACTTTTCTTGTGAAGAACTTGAAGAAGGTACCTAGTAACCTGAGCCAAGAGCCGCACAGGTCAAGAACATTCATGCTCAGTTCCATAGATGCCCCTACAGTTTGCAGAGAAATACTCACTGCTGTGCTTTGGTCATTACTGCTGTGATGGCCACTTAATTACTGGGGACAAATCCAAGGTGGGAAAGCTGGAATGTCATGGCTAAAAGATGAGGGTCACAGCCCATTCATCTCCAGCATAGGTGTTCCTGCCATCCTCAGATGCCCTATCAGACACCGGCTCAGGTGTTCTAAGTACTGTAGGAAGTCAGTAACAGCTGATGATCTAGGGTGGACAATAATAATGAAATCTCCACGAAGGGTCTTTTGAGTCATTTCTTACGGCCTGTCTTTTGCTTTACGAGTTTTAAAAGAAGACTCAGTTCCTAGTCTCAGCCAAGAATGCTCTTCTTTACCTGCTCTGACTAGGAAACTCCCAGTCACCCTGCAAGATTTAGCCAAAATGTCACCTTTTTTGGAAGATTTCCATAAGTTCTCTTTCCCTCACATTCCCATCCCAAGATAGAGTTGTTTCCCATTCTGAGCACCCAAAAAACAGGGTATTCATTTTGGAGGTGTAGTATTTTATCTGTTTAGAAGTGTTTCCAACAGTAGAGGGTGAGCTTTAGAGGGCAGAGCCAAGTGTCCTTCATCTTTCTCAGCTGAGTTTCAACCACATCCATGAGTATGGACTAGACAATAAGCTGAAGAATAGAATGAATGGATGAATTAATTAACTCCACAAAGATTAGAAGGCATGAAGTCAAAGGGTATGACGCTTCAAGAAATCTGCGTTGTGTAAACATGATCATTTTATTATTTATAAAATGAGCTTCCTACTTACTCTTAACAGGTAAAGTTATAATAGCTTGGGATTCTCTTTCCAGTACTCTTGTAATTAGGGCCTTAATTATTCTTTAAAACCTCGGGCATATGAACTTCACTTTGGGCTCTCTACCTTGGAGTCATCTACTTAAAGCTTTACCACTGGTATGTTTTTAGACCAGAAGGCATCTCTCCATCATAAATTACTATATGATCAGGATACATTTTAGTTTAGCTTAAGATAAAAATAATTAGGAGAGCTAATCTGCTATGATTTAAAATTAACAATTAAGAAAGGGCATGCTAAGACTCATTGTCTAAAGATTTTGAAATGTGTGTGTCTCATCCTCCCTCCACTGCAGCAGATCACTGAAACAGTGGGCACCGCTGGCCTCGCAACCCCAGGATTCATGCACCACACACCACAACCCTCTGATGAGAACAAGAGGAAATCCTCAGAGTTTAAACTCTTAAGTATTTACAGACACATTCTCAGCATTGCATCCCTGGTTTTCTTCAAAGGGCAAAGACAGAGGTATGTACTCAAGACAAATGAAAAGTTTACAGTGAAGTTTGTGTGGGAACCTATTCCTTGCCTTGGGACCTGGGGAGGTACATGAGTGTGTTTGCGCATGTGCATGCAAGCGCATGTGGGATATGTCAGTGTGAGCTTTAGACGTTGCCCCCGTACCTCTCCCCTGTAACAGCAACACCTTCAGGCCCCAGAATGATGCAGATACAGAAAGCCCTTATACAGCCACTGGAAACCATAAAGGGGCACACATTTTCTACATTCTTTGTATATTATTTATTGAGTGCCTGTTTTATGCCAGGTTCCCTGCTAGACACTGAGGATGCCAACATTTCCCCCACTAGCACCTCTACCCCCAGCCCCAAACTGGCCTGTCTTAGCCCCTCCTGGGGGAGGGAAAGTAAGGAGTAGGAAAGGTCTTTCTTCCCTCCCTCTCTTTTTTCCCCTCCCCCATTTCTTCCTTCTTTGCTTCCTTTCTTCCTTTCCTTTCTTCCTTTCTTGCATGGGTGCAATTTCTCTTTGATCTTCCCTGGCCATGTCGGGTCTTTCCCTCTTTGGTATCTTTGTGGGGTCCTTGCATGTGCCCTCCACCCCAGTTCCCTGCGACTTTATCCATCATGGCTCCAGCAGGGCCTCTCCTTCAGCTGGCCACTTACGGTCCCCCCTCAGCCTCTGCCTCCAGTGGCACCTCCACCTTTTTCTACCAAGGTCTCCTTGAAGAAGCTCACATGAACAGGACCCCCTGAAAAGTCCCAGGTGGTTATTCCTCTGTGGGTTCCACATTTGGTCCCTGGATGTCATGCACCATACTGGACCCTGTGATCACTGCCCAGATTCCCCCTGAGGAACGAAGGACATATTTCCCCAGGAACTGTTGCCCAAGGTCACAGCCCTTCCCCAAAGCCAGCCAGTACCAATGACAGATCAGTGCAGGGGTGGAAAGGCCCCTTCACTCTGCCTTGGGACAACTCTGAAAGGCCATCTCAGCTTCAGATGGGGGGTTTCCCTCTAACTCTCCTATCCTGTTTCCTCCCCTTCCCTCCCCCAGCTGCTATCCTAAGAACACTCCCTAACAAACCTCCTTCATCTTCCAGGAACCCAACCTGCCACATGCTGCATTGCCATGATGTAGGCAAGAGGGAGTAACCTCCACATGCAGCCCCCTGCAATCGGCCACTGCAGCCAGCTCCCAGTGGCAGGCAGTCTCCTGTGTCCCTCGAGCCCCGGGGGCAGGCATCAAGCTCTCCACATGGCATCCTGTAAGCTCCAGTCACTGGCACAGAGAGAGGAGCAAGGAACATCCTCCTTTTCTCCCTGGTATGGGGAGGGGGAGTGTCCACAGCACTGACAACTATATTCTAGAACTCTAGCTTCTAGTCCTCTTCTACATCCATCCATCCATGTACTCCCTTGAGGTGGACAGTGGCTAGAGAAGGCATGCAAAGCCATTTTCAAGGAGCTCTTTCTTATGTTGTGCATTTTGGAAGTGGGGGTAGTTGCCACCTATTGTCTTGGGATCTCAGTTGAAGTCGAGGTGGAGAGTCCCATTTTAAAACCCTGCTGCAGGCCAAAGCCACACCACAGGATGAGGAGGGTGTCTCTGACCTCCCACTCTGTGTCACTCTCGGTTACCCAGGCTCCAGGGCAGCTTGGATGCTTGGGGCCCAACGTCATCATTTTCAGTGACAGGGCACCTTCATTTCTGCTCATGCCTTCTCCTAAGGTGGGGCTGGCATGTCCTTCTTATTGGCCATTCCTCCCACACGGGTGCTATTTTGCCACCTCAGAGGTCACACCTATCAGCCTGGCAGCTGGGCCAGTCCAGATGAGGCTTCTCTGGGTCTTAGCAGTGGATATGGCTGAGAATCCAGATTTTTCTGCTTACTCATTCTCTCTACTCTCCTGCCCACTGCCACTAAATTCTTAGCACACCTGTTATTTAGACTATATGATTTTGCTCTTGGTTTTCATATTTAAAAATTTTAAGAGTCTGTCAATTGTATATATTTGCTAATTTAAAAATATTTTGGAGGAGAAAAAGAGAATCATTACCACATTAACAGATGCGTGTTGATTTCCGAAGTGATTATGAATACACATTGTAAATGGAGTGTGATCAAATGTGCTCCTGGAGGGAAGGAAACCATTAGTGCTTCTACTAGACTGAAGCTTTGCACTTTCCCCGAGGCAATGCACTGTGGCCCTGGACCAATGACTCCTTCACGATTGTCTAGATGACAGTGTGATAAACACAGAAGACCTTTCCTGGGCAAAACCTCATCCCTAGACCTAGTAATGGAGACATTAGTCTCTAAGTCATTGGTAACCCAGGTGTGAGGGGTGAGGACACTGGGGGTCTCTAAACTGCCTCCTTCTTATCAGTAAGCACTTAGGAATTCAAGTAGAAAAAAAAGTTTGACCCTTTCCTCAAAAGAAAATAAATAAATCACTGAACTCCTTTTGAAAGATGACAAATTCTGAATTTGTGGGGTCAAAAGTCACAACATTTAACAGTTGATATAGCATATGTCTGTGTGAAATATCTCATGGCATTGGCCTGAAGCCAAATGCAGGGGGATATAGTTTTCTAGTCCTGGAGTTAAGTGACGGGGAGTATAAGGATAGACTTTTTTCTTAAAGTCACAAAAGGGGTTAGTTTCATTTGGATGGAGTAGCATGCAAGTGTGAGGGAAGGAGTGACTCAGCCAAAGCTTCTCATAGAGGAAGAACTGTGGCCTCTCCCAACTTGTCCTTCCTTTCTACCTCCCATGTCCCCCACTCCAAAACCAGCTAAATGGCTAGACAAGGGTCAGATGGGTATTACGTGAGATCACACATGTAGCAGCACAGGGACTGGTGTATTGGCACAACCCTGAGAGTGCTCTTTAGAGTTTGAGCCCTAGGGGCCTCTTTTGCCTTTCCTGGTTCCAGGCCCAGTATGTGACAATGCATTAGAAGTTGTAAAGTGCTAATGGGAAAGCCCAGCCTTGCAAGATCTCTTCCCCTCTGAGATCCCATCCATTCCAACCTCATTTCCAACCACATCCTGGACCATACTATTACTTTGATGGGACCACTAAGGCCATCTTTCTCCCACCAGCCCACTGCATCTCAGGTGTCTGCTTGCTACCAATTTTGTAAGTTAACTCCTTATCTTTACCCTGTCCTCTCAAGGGTACACTCTAGAAAGGAGAGAGGAAGCAAGAGACCCAGGCTCAGCCCTAGTGAAAACAAGTAGGTGTTCCCCTGGTACCATAGCCTTTGTCTCCAAGCTGTCCAATCCAGAGTCAGGAGACAGGTGGGGAGATTTGCTGGGAGGTAGGCAGTTTGTTCCCATTTTAAGCAGCTAGGGAGCATTGCTTACCAGTGTCCTCTGCTGCCCCTTGTGGCCAAAACATCAACGTCTCTGGAGACACACCCCTCTAAACCCTGGGACCCAGCTCCCTCACCCCCACTTCCACCATCACCTTTCAAAAAGGTTTCCTCTTTAGTCCTCCATGAGCTCCAAAAAGTAAAATAGGCACTCTGCCACAAGCCTGCATCTGGTTTACACTCTTAGCTCCTTCCTGCAAAGGTTCTTGAACTGAATCCTGCAAGAAATCTTAAGAGGTCATTGGGCCACCCAGCTCCACTCTAAGCAAGGCTGGGTCCAATCCTTTTGGGAATTATATAGGGCTTTTGGTGAATCTCAAACACTGCCAAAATCTCGGACTCTTCAAAGTCTGGGATTTCCACAAAATCTGTCCAGTTGCTTATTTTAGCTTGGGGACCTTTCACTTATAGGGCAAAATCCCAATTAGGAAAGCAGGCAGGTTGGCCCTGGGGAAGGAGCTATATTAATATAGTTGATGTGCTCTTGAGTGACCTGTTACCTTTCCTCTTTAAAAAAAAATTTAAAAAGCTAATTTCATAAACTTAATCCTGCTGAAATGTTCTCTGTGGGTTGGAGGTGTTGCTTTGTGACCTGCTAAGCACAGCCCAGGAATCAGAAGCTCTTGTGGCAAACGACTTTGGGCACCTGGAAGCCACCAACATGCCTTTTCCCCCTCCTCCAGTCACAAGTGAGGGAAATAAGTTTATGGTTGATTAAGAGAGAACTGTCTACCAATTTGAATTCCTCACTAGATAATTAAATGTGTCCACTGGAATTGGCTGGTTGGAGAAGCCCAGTACAAAATTATCTCATTCCTGAAACCATCAGCCCCAAGAAATAGCTCCTTAGAGAGAGATTTGCAATCTTCGTTTGAATTTATTGACTATCAGGCATGATGTTTGATTTCGAAGTCTGTATACATAGAGCTCAGGAAATGAGAAATTTTCTGAGCTAGGAAAATGTGAAAATGTGTCTAATGCCCAGTTCGCTGGGGATTTTCACCCTTTCCACCTTCCCAAGGCTCCTGAAAAGTATTCCCAACCCTCTTCCTGCGTACAAGGGGGGAAATATGTGTTTGTTGTGTAACATGGCACTGAAACAAACCCACCCTCCCCGGAGGTTCGTTTTTTTTTTTATTGGTTTTTTTTATTGGGAATTTTTGCAGGGGGTTGCGGGGGGGGCGGCGGCCCGTTTTCGGTTCCAGTGCGCACCACTTCTCTGGCTCTTCTCAGCTCACACCTGTGAAGTCCAAGGGCCCTTCCCCAGGCTTCACAATTTTAAGGGCCTCCCAAGTCCCTTCCTGAGATGTTTCTGCCAGGTCACTGTAATGTAGTTCGGGAATGGGAGAGCAGCTCACCGCGGGGCACAGGCGCACCAGGGCCGGCCGGCGGGCGTCGAAGGCAGCGTTTAAGGCGCAGCTGAAAAATCCCTAAGCTCTGCCTGCCTGCCTGAGCCCTTAAACTTAGTCTCCAACACCTGTAGCCGTCACGTTCCTAGGACTTCAGTTGAACTCCGGAGTCGCAAAGGGCAGGCTGGAGATGCAGTGACTTGAGGACACGGGGCCAACTGTCAGCTCGCGAGCACACTGTGGAGCCATGCTAATCTCTCCAACTCTGAACTCGCTTGTTCCGGAGCTCTGGTGGCGGGGTGTTAAGAGCAGGGGGCGGCAGGTCAGACGGCTCGAAGGCCCTCCTCTCCCGCGTCCCGCCAAAACCAAACCGCCCAGCACAAGCCCGCAAGCAACCGGTGTGCTGGCTGAGGGAAGGGAAGAGCTGGCACAGCCCCAGCTCAGTATTATTAGCGCACTGTTTCTCCCGCGGCCACACCCACAGCAGATCTCCCTGCCTCTCCTCCCAGACGGCAAAGTCCGCCAAAAGGGGCGCAAGGCCTGGGCCCGGAACGCGGCCGCTGGGCTTCTCGTAACTATCCCCACCCCGTAACTACCGAGTGGCCAGCGCGGGGCAAAGGACGCGGGAGGGCAGCATGGTGTCTCTGCGAGGCCCGGCCGGCGCGGGACGCTCGGCGCCCGGGGTCTGTCCTCTCCCAAGGGCACGCGTGGGTGGGAGGACAGCGGCGCCGTGGCGCACTCGCGGAGCTCCGCTTCTCGCCGCCGCTTATCCGCGCACAAGCTGCACCTCCGCAGCGTGGGATCCCACCCCGCTACCCGCCACCCCTGCGACCTCATAAACAAACTCCGAGAACTGCGGAGGCAGGAGGCGGGGCGGGCGGGCCGCCGCGGAGCGGAGCGGAGCGGAGCGCAGGGCAGGAGGCGGGCCGGGGTCAGGGCAGAGGCTGCGGCCGCGCCTCGCCATTGGCCCGGAGGCAGTGGCTGCCCGGCGCGCGGCGCGCGGGGCCTGCCGGCGCGCGCGCCGCCGGCCCGCGCCCCCCGCGCCCTCCCCTGCGCCGGCCGCCGGAGTTTTTAAAGTGGGCTGGCAGCCGCGGAGCCTTACTTTCGGGAGCGGCCCGCCGCACAGCTCCGGCGCCCGCCGCCCTCCCGCCCAGCGATCCTGAGGCGGCCGTACAATCCTCGGCAGTGTCCTGAGACTGTATGGTCATCTCAGCAGCCTCTCCCGCCCGGCCTCGGACTCCTTCCAGCTCCGGTCGTTCGAACCACTTCTTTTTTTGAAAACCCAGAAAAGCGACTCCTTTTCAAGGGAAAAAGGAACTTCAGTTCCTTTCTCGCTTCTTTTCGCGTCTGACAACCTCCACCCACTCCTTTCCCCGACCCCGCCTCCGCACGCAGGTTCCTCCCAGTCACCTTTCCTCACCCCCCTCCCCCGCACCTAGCCAGACGCCCGCAAACTTCCACCTGACTGTGCGGGGCGCTCGGGACCTGCGAGCACTAGGACCTTTACCACCGCCCGGACCGCGGGGAGCGGACGAGGGCCACAGCGAAGGAAGCGGCTGCAGCCACCACCCGCCGCGGAGCCCAGGTGCTCGGCTTTTCAAAGGGCCACAGCGACAATGACAGCTGACAAGGAGAAGAAAAGGTAAGCGGGCGTTCAAGCAAATGAAGGAGCTGGTCTGTAGCAATGGCCGGGGGTGCGCGGGGCTGGCGCGACCGAGAGCGATTGGGAGAGGAGTGTGGGGAGGTCTTCGAGGCCCGAGGATCAGTTTGGAGAGTTTTGAGGGAGAGAGCAGGTGCCCCGTCTTGGGACGCAGAGCTTCGGCTTCGCAGTGGAGAGTTCTGTGGCTCAAAGGAGTGGCGAATCCGCGCGTGCAGGGAGGCCAAGAGGCCGAGGGGGATGGCCCTGGAGGTCGGAGGTGCTCCCGCGGTGCCTTTCAAATTCTCCCAGCCCCTGTACCAGACAACTGTGGCCAGGGCTTGAAACGTTTCTCGGCTGGTGGTCTCGACTTCTCGGGTCTCTTATGCTGGGGCAGCATCCACTCTTATCTTTAACTCTGGGTCTTTCCAAATGCTCTCGTATGCCTGCGCCGAGCCCCACACTGGCAAGGGGCCGGGGCGGAGCGCGGCTTAGGTGCGCGCCCCCGCCGAGTTGTCGGGACGCGGCGGTGGGCCCCGCTCCCGGGCTCCACACCCCACTGAAGCTTGTAGAACCCCCTTCCCTCACCCTGCACCTTGACTCTGCCCGAGAGTGGGTAGTGACCTGGATTGCCCTGCGGGGGCAGGTGTCTTGGTATTCAGGGTAGGGATAGCGACACTGGGCCCCCCTGGCATGTCCGGGTGTCTGTCTCCTAAGAGGACAGAGAAGGGCAGCCACTGCCTGCCCGCCTGCCCGCCCTCGCGAGCCGCCCGGCACTGGGTGAGAGGCAACTACGGCCAACTCTCGCTGCCCTCCCGCCCCCTCCCGGCCGCTCCCGGTCCGGCTCTCTCTGAGCTAGGGTGGGAGCGCACAGCACTGCCGCCAGACGTGGGTACGGCCTCACCTTCCGCAAAAGTGTGCGGCTTGCCACCTGGCCCCTCGCTCCTCCTCTCTCCATTCGTGCTGTCCAGTGAGCTGGAGCTTCCATCGCCGCACTCGGCGGCGGCTGGGCAGAGCTAGCCTGTTGGGGGCTGGGCTCGAACTTGCGGCTGGAGACCCCCGAGGCGGTGAGGTGGTGCGGGGATGAGGAGGACCGAGCCGTGAAGGGAGGGGGTGACTGGCCCTAAGGGCTCAGTGCCTGGGTTAATTTGCGCCTGTGCTGACTGCCACTGCGGGACCGGCGCCAGACGCCGTATGTCCTCGGGTTCCCACCTCCAGGCACCGATAAGGATTTGATAAACGGGAGCGCATCGCGCCCGTCCTGGCCAGGCGCCCAGGCCCTTCACTGCGGGATCGCCAGCGGAGGGGATTGGGTCCCATCCCTCTTTCCGGCCCAGTCCCCCTGCTCGCGATCGCGCCCCCAAGGCCTGAGACAAGCGAGGGAGCCCCGAGACTGTGGCTGGCGGTTCCCGGGGCCCTCGGAGTGGCCCTGGGGTCCTTTGAGGGGGGTCTTTTGAGGACAGCGAAGCAAGGAAGAGTTTACGATTCTAGTGCATCTTGTGAAACCGATCATAATGCCAAAAGTATTGATGAAACAATCCAAATACAAGTTTACAGACAGCCCCACTGCGAGCACTCTCTGCTCCAGAGTTGGCGAGGGAACTTAAACTGCACATTTTACAACTGCGATGCCTATCAGCGAATGTCGCAATCCGCAATCATCAAGGTGGGGCCTGATGGTAATCTTGACAAATGTGTGAAATGTCAGCGTCACCTGCGCGCCTCAGCGCCGGGTTCTGTGCAGTTTTGCGCTGCATATTAATCGTCGCGAGAAACTTGGGAGCAGGGGAAAAATTATTGCGACACACCTGGCTACAGTACCTCTTTCCTTAGCGGGCTGACGAGAGAGAGAGGGAGTCGGAGTGGGAGCGGGAAGAAAGTTGCCTAATTAGACTCCAAATTATTGGCGGGCTGGCCGCTTTAAAGACCACTGCGGGGACTGCCCGCGAAACGCCGAGCGGCCGCCGTGCGAGCTGGGGCACCTGGCTGGTGAGTGCGCCGGCTGTCCGCCCTCTGCGACCTGCCTGGATTTTTGTGTAGCAGAATGGCGGAACAAACAGCGTGGCCCGCACCATCCAGAGTCCAGTGAGGTTGTCCAATTCCTGTTGAACTAATTGTTTTGAGATTCATTTTCTTTACGCCTGGCTATGTTTGCAGGGGATTCTTTAGGGACCAAGATGTAATTGAAATATGTGAACCAATACATTGAAAGTTGGCGTTGTCAAGAAAGTGTAGCTTTCCTGAGCACCTCACAAGAGTGGTGTGACACCAAGGGAGTTCTCCCTCAATGATTCTGCCTACCAGGTAGTTCTTAAATGTTCGTGCTTCTTTGTTTCTACTGAGCCATTTCTCCCCGAAAACTCAAAATGCACAGAATATTTTCAGTGTTCCTTCTATAATAACTATAGCCCCTCAAGAAATGGGCAGATTATTTTGTCCCATAACATTCATGTGCAGATGGATATGTTAGTGTTTGATAATGAAGAGTTTGCTTTCTGAACTTTAGCTGGCTGGCTGGTCTTGATAGAAGACTTTTGGTGGCAGTGGGCCTTTGCAATGACATCAAAGATATCAGAACCGATGCTTGGTGAGGGTACTGTACTTTTACTCGTCTTTTTCTGCACCCATCAATCAGGAGTGAAGTGGAAGGCTCATTAACCAGCCAGGGTTCCTGATTCTAGGAGGAGCTAGAAAGTGTATAGGTGACTTGCCTCCTGATAAAACAATTTCTGAGTCCTTTCTCTGGGAGAGAAAAGAGTATGGAAGTCCTTAGATGTGTGAGGACTGGAGAATAGGTCATGTAAATGTAAATGAGGTCCTGGATAATCAGGGCTCAAAGTCCAGTTCCAAAGCCAGACTGAGTTCCAAGCACTTTCCAGGAATGCTTATCTAATATTGCTTAGTGCAGGGTGAGCCATGGAGGGGGAATTGGAGACAGCTGGAGCAGAGGTTTTCAAGCTACCTCTCCCTACCCCTGACAGCTGGATTTGGTTGTTCCTCTGCTAAAATCAAATCAAATTCTACCATTTTTCAACTTGGAAGGGAAAAATATTGCTAGATGGGTTTTTTCAATTTAAGCATTTTTAAATAAATATTCATTAATCTTGATATAGTTCTGTGGCATTACCAGAAACACAGGATAAAACAAAATTGATATAATACATTATTGGTTCAGATATTTAAATACTAATTCATACAGCTTTCATGAAGTTCAAAAGAATGCCGTGGCTTCAGGTTTTTCAGTGTTGTTTAAGGGGAACCTAGACTTATTTTATAAGAGATCGTGGAAACCATCTACTCAAATTTTTCTTTTTCTGGGTAAGAAAACTGAGGCCCAGAGAGATTAAATGACTTCTCCAGTGCTGGTAAGAATCAGAACCCTGGTTTATTACTTTCATTAAGTATGGATTTTGCTATTCACAAAAGAGTATTCCCAGCCCTAAAATGCCTCTAGACAGGATGATTTCCAAAGGATTAGAACACCCTTCCTCACTACACCCCCCAAACCACTGAACCTTATAGAAAGGAGATTTGCTTTTCTAGATAATTATAAAAGCCTTCAGGCTGCAGCAGGAGTGATTCTCTTTGCTTTTTGCACAGAAAGGAAGCAGAATTGGTGCTGGTCCCAGTGTCTGTAAACTTTTGGAAGTATGAATTCATTGTCGTAGTGCTCTCCCTTTATTTCAGTTAGAAAACAAAAATATATTTACGGTACATAGGTCGGCCTCATTAAACAAAACCAAGGACTGCTCGCCAATGGAGCAGATTGCTTTGTGAAGTAGAGAACATTCAAGCAGCTCCTAGACCAGGGGTGGGGAACCATTTCATGTTGGCAGGCTGCATTAATTTTGCTGTAATAAAATAAGGCCCCATTCAGGAAATTTCAATTAGATATGCTTAAAAATGTGCAATATTTTGTAAAAATCTAACTACTATGTATATAATAATTTCAAAAAAATGAAAACTATTTGTTAATTTTAAAGTTAACTTAACATTTTAATGACTTTGTTGTGTCTGCTTTTTGTTGGAAAGCATTTGAATATTTGGTTGCAACGTGGAGGTCTGCAGTTTCAGTTGATCCTCTAGATGGGTAACAGTCATTTGTGACCTTAAGGGCATCTTGATTTGGGTTAGGTAGGAGAATATAGATTCACGGCAATAAGTGGTTGAAAAGCAAGAAAGCATTTTGGGGGCATGTTGCCAAAGGCATGGGTATTCTTCACTTTTCATATTTCAATTGGGTCTTTCTTAGCATCAAACGATGACTTTAAAATATCTGCTGAGCGCGCAATCAATTCCATCTGTAGTTCTTTAGGTGCCTTGGTGATATCAACTAGGTGAAGCTGAAATGCTAATTTGAGTGTGATGTCATGATTCTCAAAGTCAGTGAATGTTTCATTGTATTATCTAATTAATAAATCTATAACAGCTGTGTATTCTTCAAGTGATTAGCATATATCATGCTGCTCATCAATGACCTTGGCTAATTGGAGAAGATGTTCATCTAGAATTTCCTTTTGAAGAAAAGGGTTTTGAAAAAAATAGCTTTTTAAAAAATGCTTGGATTTTTTTGCCGCATATCACATATAGACTTAGTTTTACCTTGCAAAGGAATATTCAAGTCATTTTGATTTGACATATCACACAGAAATACTGCAGTCCTACAGAAATTTTCTTTTAATAATTCACATTGCTAATTCTATTTTTCTTAGAATTTAACTATTTGTTTTTGCAGAGATAAAATTTTGGCTAATACCTGTCCCTGCAAATAGCCAACATATTCTAGAATGATATGGACATTCACATTGAATATCTCATCTTTAAACTTTAGCATGTTAGGAAACTGATAATGCTGTGTTGCATTTGCAGGAATATAGTTAACGATACTGATAACTTGTTGGAAAGTGTCACTTAAAATAGTAGCTTTAGCATACAATATTTTGTTAATGCAAGATATAAGAAATGAGAGCATCTGGATCTGTGAATCCTTTTTTTAATCTGGGCAA